TTAAATCAATTTAGTGTGTGTGTGTGTGTGTGTGTGTGTGTGTGTGTGTGTGTGTGTGTGTATGGGTATGGGAGCCTGGAGGACAGCTCTGTGAATGCAGTGATTTCTTTCCCACATGCATTAGGGTCCCAGGGACTGAACTCAGGTTCCACAGCTTGTGCAGCAAACACCTTTACCTACTGAGCCATTTCGTTGGCCATGTGTGGTGAACTTCAAACTCAACCCTTCAGAGGTCAGGCTACCATCCTTAGTCCCACAGCAGGGCGCCCACACACCACAACCCATGGCCTCACCTTCCTTAACCCAGGGCTTTCCTGGACACAGGTCCTATGACTGTGACAGATGGGGAAACCGAGTAACAGTCACGTGGCAGAGTAGAGGCTCCTTCATACCACCCCATGTGTGCCCAACACAGGTAATGCAGCAAACAGGAAGCAAACTCCAAAATGCTCATCTCTAAGGAGGCGTCTTCTCGACATTCTGCCTGGACACAGATGTGAGAGACAAAGGGACCTGAGCCCAGGATGTGGGCTCCTCTACGGCCATGAAGACACAACCCGAGTTACCATCGCCAGGTCTGCCAGGGATTCTCCCTGCAGTACGAACTTCTCCAGGGCAAGGTCCCAAAAGAGCTGCGCAGACAGAAGGCCTGCAGCCTTACAAATGCTCCTGGCCTTCAGCCCTGCCCTCTTCCCCACCCTGCTTCCAGGGAAGGCTCAGTTTTTAAGACCTTTTGCCTCCACTTCCTCTTTCCCAGTAGGCTCCAATCTCCTCCAGGTTTAACACAAGGCATCTGGAAAATTTATTCTTCTGAACAGAAGGCTCCCACACCGGCAAGGAAACCTAGACATCCCTTCGGAAGGGGGGCAGTCCAGGGTTCAGAGAGGCCCACAGCCCAGCTGCCCAAGAAGAAGATGCCAGCACTGTCTGACACCTTCCAGAAAGAGCCTAAGCTGGTATCCCGAGGGCCCGAGGCAAACAGTGATGGCCAGGGCCTCCCTGCAGAGCGGGAAGCTGGTGATGGCAGCGTGCCAAGAAGCAGGGGACAGATGTGCAGCCACCCTGACAGAGCTCTGCAGACCTGTGATGTGCTCACATGAGAAGCACCGTGACAACCAGGCTTGGGAGCTCGGCCAGGTGACTCTTGGCAACAGGCCGGGGTACAGTAGGTACCCAACTGCAGGCTCCATTAGTCCGTGCTGCCCACGGTGCCTGGGAGAGGACAAGGTGGTCTCAGGGCGGGCACCTTCTCACCGATGGGAGCAGAGGATGGGAGTCAGCCAAAGGCAACACCTGACCATGTGGGGGAGTAGAGGCAGGGGTACCACTTTATTGGTCGGGCAGAAAAAAGTGGGGGAATGACAGACAGCAGGGCTCCTCCCACAAGGGCTTTCTGAGCCTCTGCCCCTAAGAAGTGCCAGTGGCTGTGTGGAGGAGGAGGGCACATACACAAGCCACTGGCCCTCCAGAAATGGCCACCCTCACAGCAGAAGGACAAAGTGGTCAGAGGGCAGGGCAGGGTAGAAAGAGGGACAGATTCCAGAGTAGATGCCCAGGCCCAATGTTTACCTTGCAGGAACCTGCTGAGTGACCATGGGCAAGTTATTTAACCTCTCTGGGCTTCTTTCCAACCTAGGACAGTATGGGGGTTAGAACCTCCATAGGAGTATTTAAAAGATATAGTGACCATGGATACAGGAAACACAGCAACCTGGGGGTGAGTTCCTCATGAGACTGTCCCCAAACTTCCCTTACAATCTGGCCTTCCTACCACTTATTCTGACAGGGCAGACTGGGGGCAGAGGCAGCCATTCACAGCAACAGACAGCATCAAGGCATGCTGGGAGGTGGGGGAGCCACACTCTGACTCAGCCATCGCAAAGCAACACCATCACTCCACAGTGGAAAACAAGGCTCAGAGAGGTCAAGGGTCAGGCCCAAGGTCACACAGCCCACTCCTTATAGAATGATTTAGGCCAGGTCTATCTTAAGGCAGACTTGGGGTCTTTACATAGTTCCCATGGGGTGGGGGATAGGGATGCCAAGCCTAGAGAGGGCCCTCCCTGGCCCAACCTAGCCACTGCCAACCCATGCAGCAACCAGGATGGTATGGCCTGCGGGACACCAAGCTCTAGAAGACCAAAAGATGGGGTGGGGGTGGGGTCTGCTACCAGCATCCCAACTAGAGGATGCCCATCCCTTCCCTGACTTCTCAGACACATCATATTTCAGATGTTTCATGCTGATTCACTTGTAGGAGCACCTACCAGCGTTCCAAAATACCAGAAGGTTCTGGAACATGCCATGTCCCCACCAAGTGGGTCCCCTTGGCCCTTACAAGGCTCTCCTGATTCGCAGCTAAGTTCTCAGGCAGCACACAGAAAGAAAGGGAAGCCAACTGGACGCTCAGGGACCCTGGGGGAGGGGGCAGGGGCAGCTCAGGAAGCCAGCCTGGGGACAACGGAGAAGCTGTGCCTATGCCTCCACTCCCGACAGCCCAGGAGCCTGGCCCTCTGCACAGCCTCCACTTGTCTCTGCACTGCACCCAGTCTGGCTGATGGCCTCACGGCTCCCAGCGCGCTGCAGGGAAACAGCCTTTTGGACCTTCTGTGCCTGTTCCTCCCCAGGGACACTGCAGGCTGTGCCTGCCACCGGATCCCAGCATCTGGAACGGTGCCTGGCTCAGAGTAGGCGCTCTATAAATATTTGTGGGATAAATGGGAAGAACAGGAGCGCAGAGGAAGGGCAGAGGGCAGAGGGCTCCTTTCCGGCATCCTCAGACCCTGGGAGCTGAATGACTCCTCCCCCCCCCCATCGCTATAGTGGAGTCTGAGACAAGCCTGCCCCCCCACCCCACTGCAGCACAGGCCTGACTGCAGACACATCCCTGCCCCTTCCACACCTTCATTCAAGCTGAATACCCTTCAGCAGAGAGGACAAGCTCTTACTCCCAGTAAAGGCTAGCAGATCTGGTACTTTCTGTCCCTCATCTCCAGATGGCTCTCCTGAACCCCCAGGGCTCCAGGGTTCTCCCTGTCTCTGTACTTTTTGCTACTTTATGGGGTTCCAGTGAGTCTCAGGCAAACTGCTGGAGCAGGGCCCAGGGGGTCACGGAGGTCCTGAGTTCAGGCTGGAACCCCCCAGCCACCTGCCAGCTGTGAGGGTCATGGGACTCACCTGAGTCTCAGTGTGGGGAGTAAGAAGGTTCATGGAACAATGTGAGGGCCACCGAAAGGGCAAAAGTTGACTGGATGCTCAGCTCAGCCTCCAGGGTGGACACGGGAGGGGGGGCTGTGGGCCACACTGATTGCTCTTACTTCCCACCCCTGCTGCCCTGGGACCCAGGCATCTTTTGATTACTTGGGTTCCTGTACAGAGGTCAAGTTAGCATCAAGTAGGCACTCCTCAGAGAAAACTCCACGCCCCCAGTGAGTGTCAACCACCCACACAGGGCCACCACAAACTTCCAAGAGGCACCAGCTTGGGGCGGTGGCCTTACTCAGAACTGCCCTGTGCCTTCTGCCCAAACAGAGGGGCGCCAGGAACAGCCTCAACACAGTGAGCTTGGCCTGGCGACATTCAAATGCCCCCCATTAGTTTAATTATCAAAATGTCCCTACAAACCATGTGGCCCGTATTCCTACTTCTCAGCCAAGAAAGCTGAGCCCAGCCAGGATAAGAACTTGTTGGCAGACAGCTCTTGCAGGGAAGACAGGGGCAGGCCGAGACCAGGCCTGTCCTGCCCCAGAGCCAAGCTCCTCTCACACTTCAGGCCTTGTGGAGCTGTGCCTCCCAAGTCTCAGCAACAGCCTCAGCCTCGGCTGCCACACACCTGTGGCTAATGAAAGGCTCAGTTTCTTATGCCAGAAGCAGGTGATTCCCTTTGCCATCAAAGCCTTAAAGACAACTCAAGACCGAGGCCAGCTCTGGTAAGGAGAGATAAGGGCACTGTGTGAGACAGGGGCATTGTAAGCCTGGAAAAGGGATACCCAGGCAGAACAGGGATTGCCTCATAGGTAAGCCTCCGTGTGCCCAGGCATCACACGCATACACACACACACACACACACACACACACACGCACGCACGCACGCACACCCATGCACAATTACTTGCAGGACCAAGACACTTGACATACAGCCATTCCTGAACTGGACCCACCTGCCCACCCTTGTGTCTCTGAAGGGCCCTATCCAGCCACTGCCACACAGGCCTCTGCCCAGAACAGGACAGTCTGTTTGGTAGGGATCAGGATCCCAGCCCAAGGGCAGGACAGTGAGTGCAGTTCACATATACCTGCCTGACGCCCCTTCCCTTCCCGGGAGCCACCTGGCCAGCCCCTGGCCTGGTTCTTACGAAGCAAGGTCCCAATGTCCCAGTGCCCTGACTGTCTCCTACCATGCAGACAGCTGCATCCCGAGAACAGGCCCCAGGCCTTGGCCAGCTCCACGCAGCTGACTCCCAGAGAAGAGACTAACCACTGCAAAGGTTGTCTAGGCCACTATCCCGAGTCCCATGCGACTGTGCCCCACGCCTACACGTCTGGAATCTGTTGCCATCTGCTTCGTAAAGCCACCAGGAAGACTCAAACGAAAGGCCCTTGGGTGGGAATCTTGGGAGGAGCGAGCTAGCCAGGAGCTGGTGAGAGGGACTTCCCACCGGGACCTCCGGGTGACCTGCATGGCTACGCTAATTACCAATGTTATCGGGCGGACAACAGCCGTGCCCTGAACTTCCTCCATTTGATAGATTCGCAGCAAACACGCCCAGCTTCAGCCCCGTGCCTGCTGATTCCAGCAGTGGCTATTCTTCCACCCCTGCCTGCCCCCCAGACCCTCGAACCTCCTGCCCCAGGCCTCCAAGGTCAGCCAAGCTAGCAAGGCAAAGCCTCCTGCTGGGACCCACCAGGCTGAATCAATGAAGTGCAGCCAAAGAACAGAAAACCTCTCTCCTCCTGACCACACAGATGCTCTAGGAGAGGAAAGCTACTGTAAGGCTTACCTTTGTTACTCCTGCTGCTGGGGAGCTCCAGCCCATGGGGGCCGGGTTGACGAGCCCCTGACCTGCACAAACCAGGGTCCCACAATCCACGCAGGCACCGATGATAAGCTGCCGGCCGTCATCCACCAACAGGCTGTGGCTGGCTCTCAGGGTATACAGGAATAAGGGCAGCCTGGCCACTCTCACCGACTTCAGCCCCAGACACCGTTTCTTCTCTTGCTGACAGAAGAAGCACACGAATGTGTCCACCTGGTACTGCCTAGACCAGGCGCTGACACCCTGGTGAGCACCTCTGGCTTCATGCTGCAGCCACTGACCCAGCAAGTCATGATAGCAGAGCACACAGGTGGCCACCAGGCCAGTGGAGTCTGCAGGCCTGGCCCGCGGGGCGGGTGGATAGACGGTGAGGAAAGGAAAGAAGGGCTCCTTCTCGCCCAGGTGGCTAGCGGGGTTCATGCTGAGCTGGAACTCCTTGCCCGGCCCCAACTCAGCCCCGCAGATGTAACAGACGGCAGGCGGGCCTCCCTGCGCAGAAGCAGGCAGGTCGCTCAGAGTAGGGTCTGAAGCAGAGAAAGCTTGGTGGTACCTGCCCAGGAAGCCTTGCACCGAGCTGATAAGCTCACGGTTGTGTGATGCCCGGTACAGGGCCCAGACATCCTCGAGGACGCTGTAGCACTTGGGGCAGCTGCGAACCTCACAGCGCTTGTTGGGGGGCCGAGCGTTGGGTGGGCAAGGCAGAAGGCTGAGAAAGGGGAAGTGCATGGAGCTCCCCGAGTTGCCGTTGACGATGCGGGAGGGCACTAACCGGGCATCCCGCGTACAGTCTTCCCCGCAGAGGTAGCAGGCCTCCCGCAGCAGGCCAGCAGCGGAGGCGGGCCCCTCGTCTCTAGGGAGTCTGCGGGCCTTAGAGGCCATACCGGGGGCGTGGCTGTTCAGGGGAACCACGTAGAGCCGCTGCAGGACAGGCACGTTGGCCAACTCGAAGCTCTGCCACTGGTGCGTGAGGGACGAGAAGCAGCAGGGACACACGAGGGTGCTGCCCGCCTCTGTGATGGGCTGGGCGCCGGGCGGGGGACTGTGCAGCCAAAGGAAGGGGAAGAAGGGCGCCTGTGAGGGGGCCTCTTGCTTCTGCACGTGGATCTGATGCTGTGAGGCTGGCGACAGCGCCGACCCACAGACGTAGCAGCAGCGGGCCTGGTTGTCCGCGGGCGTCCGGGGAGGCCGCTCCAGGCCCTCGTCCCCGAGGCTCACAGCGACGTCGTTGCCCTCGGGGGTGCTGCTGCGCTCTGGGGGCCCCGCGGTCCGGCTAGGGGCGGCGCTGTCCGTGCCGTCGGGCACAGTGGGGACAGGCCAGGGTTCCTGGATGCCCCTCAGCACGCTGGCCCGCGGCTCGGGAGCCCAGTGCGTCCCGGGCCCCGTGCGCTGACGCCGAGCTCCGGGCTTGGTGGCGTCGTGAGCATCCTCGGGCTCGGGCTCTGGCAGCGCGTCTGCGTCCGACAGCTCCGACAGCTCCGAGTCGCGCGCGTCCTCGGCGTTCCACTCGCGGGCCCCGCGCCGGCCGCCCGCACTCGCGTCGCACTGGTGCGGCCGCTTGAGCCAGTACACGCGCTTGTCCACGGGCGTGCGCGCGCGCTCGAAGGCGGCCCACTGCTCGGCCAGGAAGCAGCGGCACACGGCGCACACCAGCACGCAGCCATCGGTCGCGCTCAACCCGCGCGCCCCGGGAGCCGGCTCCTGCTGCTGCAGGAACGGGAAGAAGGGCTGCGCGGGGCCCGCCGGCCTCACCGGTAGCTTCAGCTCCTTGCCGCGCGCGATGCCGCCGCCGCAGATGAAGCACGACAGGGCCGCGCCCGCCGCTGCCATGAGCCGCTGCTTGCGGGAGAGCGGCGCCGCCCGGCCGCTCATGGCCCGGCCGCCGCGCCCGCCCCCGCGCTCCCCGCGGCTGCCGCTGCTCCAACCGCGCGCCCCGAGGCCCCGCGCCCAACTCGCAAAGTTTGGCGGTCGGCGGCGCGCACGCGGCCCGGGGCGCACGGAGGGTCTCCGCGGAAGTGCCCGGGGCTGCCGAGTCCCCGGCGGGGGGCGGTGCGGGCCCAGGCGGCGCCGGAGAGCGCGCCCGGAACGTGGCGGTGGCGGTGGCTGTGGCGGCTGTGGCGACGAGCCCCGGGCGGCTGCGGCGGCCGCATGTGCGAGCTCCGGCGCCGGCCCGAGCGTCGGGTCATTTAATTGGGGAGGAGGGAGGCGGGGCGGCGCGGGGCGGAGGGCGCGGGAGGGAGGCAGAGGCGGGGAAGCCCTCCCTCGCACCGCCCTGCTGCCCGCCTCCAACCGGGCTCCTCCCCCCCTTCCCGACTCCGACTCCTCCTTCTAATCCTCCTCTCCCTCCCCTCCTCCCCTGCCTCCTCCTCCTCCTAATCCTCCTCTCTTTACCTCCTCTCCGCCCCTCTTCCCCTGACTCATCCTCTCCTCTCGATGATCCTCCTTTTTCCTCCTCCCCTGATCTCTTCTCTCCCCAACCCTACCCCGTCCTCCTCCCTCCCCACCCTCTCTCACCCCCCTGCGTCCCAAACTATGGCACAATAGCGCTCAGCTCCTCTGTCTATTCTGTGTCCAGCAGGAGCCCGCGGTGATTCATTGCTCCAATTAGGGGCTCTGCAGCCCGTAGCTCGGGCTGTCTGAAGGGTCTCCTTTGGGACCCACGAAACCCATCAGCCGCTGCCGCTGATCTTTAAGGAAAGGTCAAGCCGGACGCATTAGAGCCAGGTGAGGACCGATGGGTACCAAGGGAGGCTTGGGAAGGGCACTCCCCCAACTCCTGCCCCCAGAAGCTGAGGGAGGTCCTGGACCTTCCATAGCCCAGGGTTGGAATCACCTTTCTGAGTCCAATGCCCTAGTTTTAGAGACAGAGGGAAGAGAACTTGTCTCCTGCCATCACCCTGGAGACAGAGTCCTCACAGCCTGCCCCCACCTCCAACTGACCAGGGGCCACAGAGTCACCCTAGGGGTAGGAGCAGAAAGGGTACTGTGTGTCTTGTGACTAAGAACTCAACCTCTCTGTGCCCTTTTCCTTCTTGTTAAAGTGTTGCAGCAGAGACCACAGATGTCCACGACTTAATGTATTGTGTGCAGATACGTTGTAGCTGTTTAACACAGAGACAGACCTGCATGCCAAGTTAGCATTTACATGCTTCTTAGCTCCTTGCCCCAAGAAGCAAGTGTGGGATGTCCCTCCCTTTATGACTCAAAAACTGGGGCCAGGCAGGATTCAGACCCAGGCAGCAGGGTTTTGCATGGAGCATGCAGCTTCCTCAGGCAGACATCTGGCCCCCGTCACCCAGAAGCTGCTGGAGACTGTCCTTGGCGCCTCCCAAGCACACAGGCCCACACATGTACACCACACACACACACACACACACACACACACACACACACACACACAGAGCACAGATGGTGCCCTTTGGTTCAGACTGGGCCACCAAGCAATCCTGAACCTTTCTGGGCCTCAAGTCTCCCATCTGTAACAGACCCCCTGAAGCTTCAGAACTGTGAGCCTCTACTTTCCAGCGGCTTCCAGCTGTCTACCCTGCCTAAACCGGGGCCCCCGGGAACAGGAGCCCCTACTTGGTAAGCTGACATGTAAATAAAGACCCCCTGCCCCGTGTAAATGGGCAGGAGAAAGGCCTCTTGAGAGTCCCTGACATTCCAGGGCTCCAGATGCAACCGAATGGGGTGTCAACATGGCAGAGCATGGGACTCTTCTTTCCCTGGCCCAGAAAAGTGCTGGCTCAGCAAACTGTCCTGCAAATTTTTTTTTTTTTGGTTGAGGGGGGGAGGATACTCCGTGGCTGCTGGCATTGTTCATACCTTGCCAGAGGAGAGGCTATGAATGGGAGCCCCCTCATGAAGGAACCCTATCTCCCCTCTTACTGAGTAAGGGCTGGGGGCCTCACCCCATAGGAAGGTGTCTGGGGTAACTGTTCCTGCCCAAGCCCAGCAGGTTCCCTGGAGATGAAGGCACCTCAGCCTGGCCCAGCTGCCCATCTTCAGAGCCCCTCAGGCTCATCTGTACGGGCTCAGCTGGAGTTGCCCTTGTTCCTCCACATCTGTTCATCGTTCATTTTATTTCCTGTGCCATCTTCTGCTTCCTGCACCCTTTCATCTCCCAAAAGCCAGCTTCTCCCAGGTCCATCCTGCACACTGGATAGCCAGGACTGGCTCCATACCTGGATCCAAAGCCCCAAACTCCATTCTGCCAGCTGTGTGTGCCTCAGACAGAGGCGGACCTCTTACCTCTACAAACCCCAGTCTCCTGCCGTGTGCAATGGGCACATGCTCACTACACAGTGGGCCAATTGAGAGTCAGAGAGATGCCTGGCACAGAAGGCTGACAGGACAGGAGGCTGTGGTGTGCATGTTAGCATGTGTGTGTTAGTACACACGTATGCTGTGTATGTAGACATATATGTGCATTTGTGTGAACAAGTACAGGCATACATGTGTGTGTTGTACATACATCTCTGTGTGTTAATGCATAATTATATACACACGCATATGTATTTGTGTGTGCAAGTCCAGGAATACATGTGTGCTCTGCATGCCTGTGTTTATGTGTGTTAATGCTTGGTGTTATACAGACATGCATTTGTGTTTACATGCATGCATGCAGGTATACATGCGTGCACTGTGCAGGCATATGAATGTACATGCATGCATGCTGATGAATGTGCATGTTTGTGCTTATGCTTCTGTATGTGAAGTGGGCAGCGGGGGCAGATTTCTGTTTCTCTCAATGGGTGAATGACTCAGGAAATCCCCTGGCACAGATCAGAGAAGGAAGAAGACAGGTGATGTTGCTGAGTCATCTGGGGGTGGGTGACATGGGGGTGGAGCTGCAGCTCAGCCAGACACACCAGACTGACATCACAGCAGCATTTACTAGCTTTGGCGGTGTGTGTGGGGGGGGACTTCTGACCCTCTGGGTCTCTATTTCTCCATCAGGAAAGCAGAGCTAAAAAAAAAAAAAAAAAAAAAGACATGTTTTTCTAGGACTGGGAGAAGCAGAACCTAAGCAATGCTGACAGGCCAGGCTCTCCAGAGACCAAGGCAGGAGAATCTCAAGTTCAAGGCTGGCATTGGCTACACAGTGAGACCGTCTCTCAAAGGGGAAGAGCTGAGGGACCCAGGCAAAGCCCCCATGTGGCATGTAGCAGTAGTGGTTTCCCCACAAGCTGGGTAAGCGCTGAACACAAGTCTGGGCCCTGCAGGGGCCAGCTCCTGAATCCCCGCAGAACCCAAGGCTGTGTCGCTGTGGCTTGGCTTTCAGATAAGAAGACAAAGGTTCAGAGTAAGGAGAAACCAGCCCTAGGAACAGCAGGTAACACGGGAGAGCACACACACCTAGTCCCCCCACTCTGGCTCCTATGAAAGCTGGTAAGAATGGTTGCCCTAAGTTCAGCATGAGCCAGGGATGGCCTCAGAGTACCAGCTCTCTTCTTTCATGTGTCCCCAACTGTGCATCTAAGGAAACTAAAGCTCTCACAGACTCTGGCCTGGACACAAAGCCAGCTGTGCGGTGCCAGATGCTCAAACGCCAAGGCGCCTTGGTATCTACTTTGTCACAAAGTCATCCCAGCCCCCAGCCTGGCTTTTCACATGTTCGAAGCTCAAAGCTGGTTTGAGCCATCCACGCATGCCTGCCAAGAGTCACAGCATCTAGACTCAGGATACCCAGCAGAGTCATCTCCCTGCCTGTGGCTGTAGGGGGTCCATGTTCCTTCCATACCTGTCTCTATTCCAGGCATGGGCAACATTGCAGCTCCCAGCAGCCCTGGCTCAGGGCAAGGAATACAGAGCCCACAGGTTCCGTGGAGACATACAGCGGAGGTACAGAGCATCTGGGCACAGCTAACATTTTTGGCTTCCTGTGGGGCATCTCCAGCCTCCCCCTAGCTGTTTCCAGCTCCCAGCACCACACACTATTGTGTCTGCTTCCGGCTGTGTCTCCCAAGGGGCCGAGCCCCAGCTGGCCTGCCTTGCACTGTCCTAGTTTCACAGGGCTCAATCAATGTTGGAACCAGAGACACAGGACTCCAAACCTCATGGTGCCTTCTGTTCTAGAATCATCAGGTCGTCTGGCAGGATAGGATGACACCTTCTGTAATCCCAGCACCCTGGAGATGGACGGGAAGTTCAAGGCCAGCCTGGGCTGCATAGTGAAAACCTGTCTCAAAAAATAAAACCTTGGCAGGAGGCAGATAAGAGCAAAATGGAATTTTCACAGAATAAAAATATTAAAAAATAGGGCTGGTAATGGTACACACCTTTAATCCCCATGCTTGGGAGGCAGAGGCAGGCACATCTCTAAGTTCAAGGCCAGGGCTATACAGAGAAACCCTGTCTTAGAAAACCAAATATATAATAAAAAAAATACAGTAATATATATAAAGAAAAAAATTTTAAATCCCACCAGCATCATCTTGCCCCTCTGTAGTCTTCAGTTGTTCTGTCCTTCATTCTTTCCAAGAACCTGAAATCAAATCGCAATTATCCCAAGGCATGCAGTTTTCCCAATCTGCAGTTTTGACACCAATGCTCACCGTCTCTTTTGTAACTTCTCTTGTCCTCTGTGTGCGCTCCTCCAGCATCCTTCCCAGGACCCGGGTGCGCTCCTCCAGCATCCTTCCCAGGACCCGGGTGCGCTCCTCCAGCATCCTTCCCAGGACCTGGGTGCGCTCCTCCAGCATCCTTCCCAGGACCCAGGTACCATCTGTTCATCTGCTTCTACAGAGGCAACCTGGGCCCTGTGCTTGCTCTCCAGCTAGCTGGGGACCAAAAGAGAAAAACTGGTCTTTGGCTGCCTTTTCTTTCCTTGCTCTTCCCTCTCCCCTCTGCTCCCCACCTCCCCCCCCCACTTCCCTTCTTCCCTTTCCGTCTGGTTAGAGCAAGCACTTCACTACTTTCCACAGAAAGAGCTTCAGACATGGCAGGATCCTGGCGAATAATATATCCTCCTCGAAGGGAAAGA